CCTAGGTGGGTCCAAGGGTGGGAAGTGGCCTGGGGCCATAGGGCAAGACAATGGAGGGGAGATCGGGTGTAGCTACAATGAAAGGGATTATAGCCTCAGGGGAACGCTAGAGATTTGACCATGTGGGAAAGTCCAGGGTTTTTCCTTTCTGGGGCCCAGATTCCAACCCCATCACTGGGACCCCAAAATAGCAACGCAGGTACTGCCTCGAATGAATTCGACTCAAGCCTTCTTTCAGCCAAAGACAAGGTTTATTAGAACACCAATTGGAGTAAGGTGAGATTCCTAGTGAGGCTGCCCTATTGGTCAGATTTTAAGAATCTGAGCACTTTAATGGAGGCAAGATAGATTTTTTTTTATACAGAAGACTGTGGGAACAGAGAAGGGGTTTAGAAGGAATTTGAGGTGAGAAATGGCCTGGCGATCTGGAGTTAATAGACAACGGAAGGCTGGGCTAGGTTAGAGGTAACAGAATTGGTAAATTGGGTGTTGCCACAATGAAAGGTCAGTTGGGACAGTAGATGCCTCAGGCAAACACCAGAGACTTGACCTTGTGGACAAGTTCAAGGAAGTTGTCCGGGGAGGGTTTCCAGGACCTATACCCCATGAACATGATCAGACCTGTATTTTAGGAAAATCATTTTGGCAGCTGAGTGAAGGATGGACTGAAGTAGGGAGAGACTTGAGTCAGAGAGGGCAACCAGTAGTTTAATACAATAGTTAATAGGGACGTCATGAGAACCTACACTCTAGGGTGGTAGCTCTAGAGTAGAGAGAACGGGATATATGTGAAAAATGTTGTCAATGTTGAAACAAGACAAGTGACAGATTGGATATGTGGATTTCAAGAGAGGAGTGAAGAACAAAACTGAATCATCCAGCCTGGGTAACTGGGAGGATGTTAGTGCCTTTGACAGTAATAGAGAAGTTGGGAAGAAGAATTCGGTTTTAGTAGAAAAGATGATGAATCTTCTTTTGGACATGTCAAATTTGTGCTACTGGAAACCCATTTCAAGATTCCCAAGAGGAAGTTGGTGATGTCAGACCAGCTCCAGAGAGAGGTTAGGGCTGGATCGTTCTAGGAATCATTTGCATAAAAATCATACCTAAACCCATGGGTACTGATGAGATCACCAGAGAGAGAGCATAAGAGAAGTCACAGGACAGAGCCTTTAGGGATACCCATGATTAATAAGCATGATCTGGGTGAAGATCTGATGCGGTTTAGAGGTTCAGGGGTGTTAGGACCCCAAAATCACAACACACGGGTCCTGCCTGAAAGTATTCGACCCAACCCTTCTCTCAGCCAAAGACAAGATTTATTAGAACATTGTCATATTGGGCAGACTCTTAATGAGTCTGAACAAGAATCGGAGCAGTGGCTACATTATAAGGGTCACACAGCTAGTAAGTGTCTGAGGACGGACTTGAACTCAGGTCTTCCTAACACCAGGCCTGGCACTCTATCTACTGCACCATTTAGCATCTCTTAAGGTAAAAGAAGAACAAGAGAAGATTTAGAAGAGAGCAGAGATACCTAGAGAAGAGAACATATCCTGGAAAAGAAGGCAATCAGCTGTATCAAAGTCTGGATTAGGGAAAGACAGTTTTAGTTGAATGATAAGGTAAGAATGAGGTTGCAAGGGATTTAAAAGAAAGTGAGAGGAGAGGAAGAGGAGGCATCAACTGTAAACAGCTTTGTCCATGAGTTTATCTGAAAATGAGAGAAGAAATATAGAATGACAGCTAGAAGGCAAGTGAAGGGTTTTTTTTTAAAGATAGGGAACATGAGCATGTTTGTAGGAGGCCAGGAAGGATCCAGTAGATAGGCATAGAGAGGTTGCATCTGTGTTACTGAAGGGAACGTCCATACTAAAGTAATCACAGATCCACGTGAGAGTGATGAAAAATTTCCTAACAATTGAAGTTAACCTAAAATAGAATAGGCAGTCTGGATTCTCAGTCACTGGAAGTTTTTAAGCAGGGCCTGGATGACCACTTGTAAGCTATGACAGAGTGGATTCTTGTTCTGATACTGATGGAACTAACTAATCAACCAATCAAAAATATTTATTAATAGCAGGCATTGTAATAGGCACTGGGGATACAAGTGCAAATAATGAAACAATCGATAAACACTCCATCGATAAACATTTATTAAGTGCCTACTATGTGCCTGGCACTGTGCTGTCAATAAGCTTAAACAATAACGTGGGATACAAGTACCTGTAAAATTATATATAGCAGAAACATAAAGTTAATAAATGCAAATATATGCAAAGTGTTAAAAACAGAGTAATCTGATAACAAGGGAGGACACTAGTGGTTGGAGGGAATCAGAAAATGCTCAGTGTAGAAAAGCTGGTACCTGAACTGCATATTAAATGAAGAGAGAGTCTCTAGGGATGGAACCAAGGAGGAAGCAGGAATGTGGGGCAATCAATAAAAAGTCATGGGGACTAGAAATGGAATGTCCGATATGAGGAACAAAGAGAAGGCCAGTTTGCCCAGTTTGAAGGGTATGGAAGGGACAGTAATATCTAAGGAGGCTAAAAAAGTAGGATGGGGTCAAATTGTGTATAGTATATAAACCACAGGTAGAAATCATAGTTCAAATAAAAGAATATGTTTTAGATTGATAAGTGTACCAAGTTGTTGCAGCAAAATTCTGCTTTGGGGCAATAAAGTAATAAAGTCATCTTGTGGTGGCAGATCAAACAAGTTTTATTAAATATCTGCTAAGGGTCAGAGACTGAGCTAGCCCTTAAACAATGAAACAATCCCTATTTTCTTTTTTATTATTTATTTATTTTTAGTTTTCAACATTCATTTCCACAAGATTTTGAGTTCCAAATTTTCTCTCCAACTCTCCCCTCCCCTCACCCCAAGATGGAGTGCATTCTAAATACCCCTTCCCCCAATTCGCCCTCCCTTCTATTACACCCCCCCTTATCCCTTTCCCCTTCCATTTTCCTGTAGAGTAGGATAGATTTCTATACCCCTTTGCCTGTGTATCTTATTTCCCAGTTGCACGCAAAAACAACTTTCAACAATTGTCTTCAAAATTTTGAGTTCCAAATTCTCCCCCTTCCCTTCTCCCCACCCACCTTCGTTGAGAAGGCAAGCAATTTGATACAGGCTACACATGTGAAGTGATGCAAAACACCTCCATAAACAGTCATGTTGTGAAAGACTATATTTCCCTCCATCCTATCCTGCCCCCCCTTTATTCTATTCTCTCCTTTGACCCTGTCCCTACTCAGAAGTGTTTGCTTCTGATTACCCCCTCCCCCAATCTGCCCTCCCTTCTATCATCCCTCTTTCTTTTATCCCTTTCCCCACTATTTTCTTGTAGGGTAGGCTAGATTTCTATGCCCAATTGAGTGTGTATGTTATTCCTTCCTTAAGCCAAATCCAATGGGAGTAAGGTTCACTCATTCCCTCTCACCTGACCCCCCACCCCTCCACTAAGCTTTTTCTTGCCTCTTTTATGTGAGATAATTTACCCCATTCTACCTCTCCCATTCTCCTTCTCCCAGTACAATTCTCTCTCACCCTTTAATTTTATTTTTTAGCTATCAACCTTTCATATTCAACTCATCCTGTGCCCTCTGTCTACATATATATTCCTCCAACTACCCTAACACTGAGAAAGGTCTCATAAGTTACAAATATCATCTTTCCATGTAGGAATGTAAACAGTTCAACTTTAATAAGTCCCTTATGGTTTCTGTTTTCTGTTTACATTTTCATGCTTCTCTTGAGTCTTGTATTTGAAAGTCAAATTTTTGGGGTCTATGCTCCTCTCCCAGCCCAGTACAACAGACCTTTCCAATAAACCATTCAAGTTGTCTTGGGCCAGAAATTTGTTTCAATCTGTCTTTTTGTGGGTTCTGCTGCTCTAGAATTTGTTTAGAGTAATTTTTTACAGGTATTTGGAGGGGTTTGGGGGAGAGCTCAAGCAAGTCACTGCTTTTACTCTGTCATCTTGGCTCCATCCCTAACAATCCCTGTTTTCAATGAACTTACATATCTAATGGGGGAAACAAGTACATATAAAAATATATATAGCACAATATATAAGCACATACAATAAGCATAAATATATGCAGAATATTAAATAACAGTTTGGGAGGGAGGGCACTAGTAATTATGGGAATTATGAAAAACTTCACGCAGAAGATGGTACTTGAGCGGCTTCTTAAAAGAAGAGAGGAAGTAAGAGAGAATGTATTGCAGGTATTGACAACAATCAGTGCAAAGGCACCAAAACAGAAGATGGGGCTGTTGTAAGGAAGAGAAAGAAGGCCAGTTAGGCTATATCAAAAACTCATACTTATATAGTCCTTTGAAACTGGGGTTCTTAACCTTTTCTGCTGTGGACTCCTTTGGCAGTCTGGTGAAACCTGTACATCCCATCTCAAAATAATGGATTTTTAAACATTCATAACTGAAGGAAATTATAAATTTCTGTTCAAAATCACTGATATATATCTATATGTATATGTATATTTATATGTATATGTACATGTATATGTACATCCATGCATATCCATATATCCATAGGCCCCTTGGCCTACAGCCAGCCGCCTCCTCCTTTTCTCTTCCTTTCCTTCCTCTTTCTCCTCTTCCTCTGCTCTTCTTCCTCTTCTCTTCTCCCCTTATATGCATATGTAGTTCATAGATGCCCTAAAATTTATCCATGGATTCCAGATTCCAAGGTTAAAAACACCTGCTGTAAAGTTTGCAAAGAACTTTCTGTACACTGTCCCATTTGAGAGCCACGCCAACCCTGTGAAGTAGATAGAAGTACCCTGTTGTTGTTTATTAATTATTCTCATTTAACAGCTGAGGAAACAGGCTCAGAGAGGTCAAGGGATTTGCCTGGTGACACAGAGCGGGTAAATGTCAGAAGTGGGATATGAACACTTTATTTATTGGGCACTATTACGCACCCAGCATCAAGCTGCCTCCCCTCTGAAATCACTTGCAGCTCGCAGATGCTACACGCAAATACCCCGCGGGCTACAGCAGGGAGAGACTGCATCCCGCCCACGCTCCCAGGACTCTCCTCCCTCCCCCCTCCTCCTTCACAAGCAAACCGTGAGAGAACTTCTGGTCCAAAGTCTCGCCAACCCTTCACTGCGCAACCGCAAAACCCCACAGTGCGCCTGCCAACCTCGTCCAATCAGAGCGTGGCTATAGACCGGATGAGGCGGGGCTCACTGGGCACTGAGATGCGAATCAACGCCTTTGGACGGCCACAGGCGGAAGCGGAAGCGGAAGCGATCCAGGAGCTGTTGTAGGGACTGGTGTGTTTGTGTGTGAGAGGGGGATCCTGCGTTTGTTCTTTGGAGGTTTTGGGGGGAAGGGCCAGGAGGGGGCTGCGGGTCTCGGCCGTGTGGAGGCAGCTCCTTGAAGCCGCCGCCGCCGTCGCCATGATGCAGGCAGAGTGTGGGGTGGCTGCTGGGTGAGGGGAGGGCAGGGGGCGGGGGGGGCGGCGGCGGCGACTTGGCCTGGTCCGGTTGGCTCCGCTGTGTCCGTCCGAGCTGGGGCGATACCCGTGCGAGCGGGGCGAGCGGCGCCAGCCGCGCCGGGCCAAGGTCTTGGGCCGCGGCAGGCGCAGGAGAAAGAGGAGCTCTTTCCCTCGAAGCCGCGGCGTTAGGTGCGGCGGCACCGTCAGCTCCCGGTAAAGTAAAGCAGAGCAAAACCCGGCCGCCCCCTCCCCACCTCTGATTGTGCCACCCGAGCCTGTGCCCCAGGGAGGCCGGGAGGGTGGGCGACGGGAGGGGCATCGGGCCCCTTGGCCTACAGCCAGCCGCCTCCGGCTCCTCCTCCTCTTCCTTTTCTTCCTCTTTCTCCTCTCCTCTTTTCCCCTTCTATTCTTTTTTCTTCTCCTCTTCTTTTCACTTTTCCTTTTTTTTTCTTTTCTTTTCTTCCTCCTCCCCCCTCCCCCTTTCTTTCCCTTTCCCGGGGTTGATTTTGACGAAAACATGCCTTGCACCTGGAGGAACTGGAGGCGATGGATCCGGCCCCTCGTGGTGTTTCTTTACCTGGTGGCCTTGGTCGTCTCTCTGCCTCTGTGCATATGGGAACTGCAAAAATTAGAGGTAAAATGAGCTTTTCTTGGGATGCTTTTTATATGCTGTGCACCCTACCCCTGGGGAAAGACATTTTCCCATTTATAATCTTTCTCCTGCCCTTTTACCTTTGTTCTCCAAAGACACTGCATATAGGATCATAATTTTAGACCTGTAAGGGACCTTGCTGGTCGTCTGATTGCAAAAACTCAATGTTTTATAGATGAGGAAACTGAGACTCAGTAAGGATAAGTGACTTGCCCAAGGTCATGCGTTTAAATGACAGTCAAGATTTGAACCCAAGACCCTTACTTCATATTCAGTGCTCCTCCTAGGACTGCAGCTTTAACCTGCTTTGTTGTCTTTTGAAAAAAATGTATGATCTGTTCAGAAACAATGTTTGAGGCATATAAAGAAGCCTAGAAGAGCTACATTCCATGTAAGTTCATTTCCATGAAAGTCCATTTTGATGAACAAGGATTCCTCTTTTTAAAGTTATGTGAGTTTTGTTTTTTTTTTAAATTCGGATGTTTTTGTTTAACTTTTTATAAGTGGGAGATGTTGTTAAGAAGTGACTGCCCTGGAACAAAATTATCAAAATGATTTTGTTTTTGTATACAGATTTGGTTTGCTACAATTATATCAAATAAGTGATATTAATGACATCATACATTTACATTTATTAGCAACCTTTAGCTTCCTAAATTAAAGGATGCAATTAATTTCTCTCTTTTTTTTTTACTTTAGAGGGTAATTAGGTCTTACCTATCAGAGGTTTTGCAAAATAATCCTTGTGGTTCTATACAATTTTTTTGATGTCACATTCTTATTATGACATCAGTAAAGTAACTCTGAAGAGCCTGAAAGTTCTTAAGGTAAAAACTTATGTTATATAACCTTTTCAAAGTTAAACTGGTAAAACTCAAACTGGTTAAACCGGTTTTCTGTTCATCTTTTCATCAGTATCAATTTTTAAGTGTCATTATCCTTTAAAGTAAAACTTAAAATGTGTTTTTCCAGTAAAACAAGTTTGAAGCTACTTCAGCCAAACTGATCAGATTCCTTTTCCCTTCTGTTCCCAAGGCCAGCAAATTTATTAGTTTAGAGAAAAACTCTGGGTGGAGAAACTCCCTCCAAATCTAATGTAACTTAACCAATTTCACGATTTGTCCTGAGGATCCCACAGCTAATATATGTAATGGTCAGAATTTGAACTCAGGTCTTCTGATTTTTATACTGGCCCCCACACTGCCCTGTAGTAGCATGATAATAGTAGTAGCTTTTAAAAAGCAAGATGATTTATTACAGCAAGAAAAGCACTTTTGTCAAAAACTTTATAGCGCGTTATTCTAGAAAGAATGTTTTTAGACATTCTGTAAATCTATATAAATTATACTGCTAGCATCACTTATTAATTAATAAAACATGTTTTGCCAGATATGTCAGTCTTTGGTAGTAAATGTAATGGTCTTCTGATGCTTTTTAATTGAGATGCTTATTCAAACATTTCCTTTTTACTTATGGGTTTCATAAGCAGTACATAGAGGGTAATTAATATAAACAAGCCCTACAAAATATCTTTAGGTTTGCCACTTATGGTAGATAACATCCTTAAATAAGGAAATCGTAGGAATCAGTTATTCAAAAGGTAGTGCATTGAAACATCAAAAAATAAAGCATATTCCTTACTCTAAAAAAAGCCAGATCTCCATAGTTGTGATTACTCATTTTTCCACTGGAATACTGTTTTCTTTTTTCCCCACAGCACACAAATTTTGTTTTATGTACGTCAAGTTAAGAATACCTGACTTGAAAATTCAAGCTATGGACCAAAAAAGGCCTAGTGGCTTTCCACTCACTCTACTGACCCCAAAGCGGTTTTTGGCTTTGTTTTTGTTTGCTGCTGGTGCTCTGTGTGTTCTGTGCAACAGCCAAGTTGAGGTTTGAATCCAGTGGAACTGTAAACAACTTTACACTTTAGGGGTTTGATTACCTGTTATTGTTGCTTATGCTTTTCATGTGTGTGATGCTGTTTAGTAACTTGACCCATTCACAGGTCCACCAGTGTGCCTCTTTTCCCACAAGCCCTCCAACATTTATCATTTTCCTTTTTTGTCATTTTTACCACCCAGATGATTGTGAGGAAGAAATCTCAGACTGCAGTTTTTCACATTGTTATTGATAGTCTGGTTTTCTTTTGAGAACTGCCTGTTCATATCCATAGACTTTTGGGAATGACTTTTTTTTTTTTAAAATAAATTTGGATCAGTTCCTTATGTACCTTGGAAATGATACCTTTATCAGAAAAACTTGTTGCAAAGATATTTTTTCCCCAACTCCAAATGGGTATGTGACCTAGACATTAAAGTTCATATCGTAAACAAATTAGAGAAACATGGGAAAAAAGTACCTAGATCTGTGGAAAGAAGAGTTCGTGAAGTTTTTTCACAAACAAAGCCAATTTAAGATTAAAAAATAAACGCTTGAGCTGAGTTTTGAAGATAACAAGGGGTTCGGAGGGGCAGCAGTATGTTTCAGACATGAGGCACAGCCAGTGCAAAGGCTGAGAGGTGGAGTTTTCTGTGTGGGGTTCAAACATTTGTTGGCTAGACTGGTGAAAATGTTTTGTGTTTCAACCGACTTTTGTGTGTTTTTTTTTGTTTCTGTTTTTTTTAGTAAGGCAGTTGGGGTTAAGTGACTTGCCCAAGGTCACACAGCTAGTACGGATCAAGTGTTTGGTCTAAGGTGGGATTTAAACTCAGGTCCTCCTGACTTCAGGACCAGTGCTCTATCCACTGCGCCACCTAGCTGCCCCCTTCAACTGATTTTTGAAACAACTTAATTGCAATTTTGAAACAAGTAGCCAAGTACTATACTTTTATCAGTTTGTCACATCCCCAGTCTATCCATTTGTTGACACTATTAACTTGAATTTCTGAGCTTTGATGCTATGGCAGTTCCATATTGCTACTTGTTCGTGAACATAGACCAAGTTTTTTCTTACTAATTTTCAATCACGGTTATGCTGAAAATGATACTCCAGTGTAGAATGGTAAAAAAAATAAGCACAAAACTTTGCACAGCATCATAAACTACAAATACATTCTATATTTTTTATCCCTCCCTATAATGAACATTGCCACAAGCAAGCAGTGTACTGAAAGGTACTTTCAGGGTACAATGGTTTAAGAGAGCTAAGTGTTAGGGAATCAGCTTCTTAACCTCAAAAAACATTTATGTAATAGTTTTTAAAGATAAATGGAAATCCCTTTTAAAATTTGTATAAGAGAAATTTATTTTTGAAGATAAGTGAACTTATTTCTAACATATTCTGATTCCAAGATCAGTGGCCTTTTTCTCCCCATTGTGCTGCCTGATTGAGTGCCATTTAATTATAGAAATTAATGTTTCTGCAACATAAATCACTATAACACTTTTGTTTGTTCACTTTTTTAGTGTATTGCACTTTTTCAGTTGTGAAGGTGTATCTGAGAAACTATTGCTGGTATTGGACCTGGGTCATGCTGTGTTGCAAGAGCTTTTGGGGGGTTTTTTTTTTTTGTTTACAAAATGAAACTCATGGCTTTTTACTCACCCCACTGTAAGATTATATGTGTAATCATACTCAGAGCAGTAGTTTGATGTCCATTCTGACCCATACGTGGATCCCAGGGTTTAATAGCATCATTGACTTAAGACTTCTGCTGTCTCAAACCCCCAAATGTTAATACCTAATTTTTTTTATGATGTTGAATATAATGTTGGTTATTTAGTTCCACATCATTTTAGGTTTTGCAGAGGACCTGATATTAACTTTAATCATAGCATTGACAGTTTGTGGTGGCATTTTTTTCTTTCTGCTTGCTTTAAGGACCACAGGTAAAGCTCAGAAGAGCCAGGTGTCCCCTTGGGCTGTGGTTTGCCCACCCTTGAATTAATGGGTGAGCATGATGATAATGTGAACCAACAAAATGCAGGCATGTTTGTGATCATATAATTTAGTTACAGCTTATAGCAAAAAATTATGATTTAATCAGCTCTTTCCTTTGTAAGTGGTTTTGTAATATTAACAGATATATGTTAGAAGTTTTTTTAACAAAGCAAAAGCAGATCACTAAACATTTTGACTCCGTTGAAGTTTTAAGTCTCCAATATTAAAAGTGAAGTAGAGTTTAAAATAACATGTTAACTCTATAAAGCTTAATCTACTTTATGTTCATAAATATTAACTAAAAAGCATTTGAGTGTTTTAAATGATGGTTGCTTTATATACAAGGAGAGAATTTCCAGAGGAGTCAAAAGAACAATAATTATTAGAAATTGTAAGGCAGTTTTAGACGCTGTCTTTCAGGAGCATCGTAGAATTCCACTGATTTAGATTCTAAATTTTATGTATATATTATCTGATTATACTACTGTGGTTCTCATCTCCTTAAAATCCTTTCAGCCATTCAGAGATCAGTTAAAAAACATTGTTAAGCTATTATGTGCCAGGCATTGTTCACTGAGGATACAGAGACCGAAAAGAGGATGATCTGCTATTAAATAACTTACATTTTGTTGAGGGAATTAATGTGTGTACATGTAAGTTTATGTAGAATAAATACAAATTAAATACAAGATAGGAAGGAGGGAGAACTAACAGTTGGTATCAGGAAGGGCTTGATGTAAAAAGTGATGTTGGAGCTGAAACTTTAAGGAAATGAGGGATCCTTTTGAGTTTTAGATGAGAAGTGAATGCATTCCAGGAATGGAGAGGATGACTAGTGCAAAAGCATGGAGGTGAGAGATAGAATGCTATGTATAAGGAACAAAGAGAAAAGCCAGTTTGGCTACATTGTAGAGTATAAGTAGGAGAGCAGTGTATAATGAGGCTGGAAAGATAGATTAGGGCTAGGTTGTAAAGGGCTTTAAATCCAAACAGCCTCAAAGCAATAGGGAGCCATTGGAGTTTGAGTAGGGAAGTGACATGGTCAGATTTGTGCTCTGGTGGATGTGAGAGGAGGCTGTATTAGAGTGGAGGGAGACCTGTTGAGACTTGGCAGTAATCCAGGGCAGAGGTGATAAAAGGCCTGAACTAAATCGACTGTGAAAAAGAACCGTTTGAAGGTAAAAGACATGGATGCAGAAACTGCAGGATCTGGCATTTGCTTGGATTGATAAAGTGAGGAAGAATACTATCATTCAAGAATGACACCAAGGTTATGAAGTTGGGAGACTGGAAAAATTGTGGTAGCCTCAACAGAAATAGGAAAGTTTGATATGAAGTTGAGTTTTTGGGGAAAAGATAATGAGTTCTGTTTGGGCCATGCTGAGTTTGAGATGCCTCTGAGACATCCAGATTTGAAATAGCAAACAGGAAGTTGATGATGTGAGATTGGAGCTCAGGAAACAAGGGAGCTTTGAACGTATAGATCTTGGCATCAACTACATAGAGATGATATTGAACCCTAGAGAGTTGGTGAAATCTCTGAGAGATGAGGAGAGAAAGTGGAGGCATTGAGTGTAGACAGCTTTTTCTAGGAGTTTGGCTCAGAAAGGGAGGTGAGGTATAGAGTGATAGCTTGAAGGAATGGTATGCTATTGTTAAGGTTTTTATTGATGGGGAGATTTAGGCATGTTTGAAAGCAGCAAGGAAGAAACCAATAGAAAAGGAGAAATTGAAGATTAGAGAGGTATAGTTGAGGGGGCAATCTGCTGAATAGGGAATGAGATCAAGAGCATATAAAGACCTTACTCCTTGGCAAAGAGAAAGAGCACCTAATCTGAGACTGAGGCAAAGAAAGGAGAGAGTGGAAAATGTTAAGGGTTAAGATAAGAGGGCAAAGGTCTCAGTTTTCTTATTAAAATAACAGGTAAGATCCTCAGGTGAAAGGGTTGGGGGAGAGAAAATTGAGGGAGGCTTAAGAAAAAAAGGTTTAGGACAGCTTTGGGGAGTGAGATAGGGGTCAGTTAAGGAGGGGCAAAAAAACAAACTGCAGTCTTGGAACTTTTTATTATACCTCAAGGTAAGTATAAAAATTTCTGTTGGAAATTGTTACTATTTACATTTAAATTCTTCCACTAAAATAATATTCAAATGCTTCATTGTGGTGTGAAAATGACCATGGGTTCTTGAAGTATTCCAGATGAACTCTAAAGCTTTGATAAATCCTGACAAGTTGAAAAGACTTCAAATAAGGGCCAGAAATGGATTTTGTACCTGTTGTACTAGCCTAGCTAGATTTGGAGATATTCTATACCAAAGGGTTGGTTACAACAAACTAAACATAGAGGGTTACAATCCTTCCGTGTAAGGAGTGTCCACAACAGTGAAATAATGGACCTTTTGATGCATCAAGTCCAGCATCTCTTCTTTGTTACGTTTTGGAAGAGGAAAGGGAATTGAGGTTCCAAGGATACAATAGAGCTTAAAATATTACTGTTAAGTAGAATGGGATTCTATTGCCATATTAAAATGACCACTGGGGAAAAGGGAGTATGTTGTAAAGTTCATTGGAAGTTCCGGTATGAGATCTCCCACTTACTACCTTTGTGACCTTAATTACTCTTGATTACTGTTTCCTCATATATAAAATGAGGGAGTTGGACTAGGGGACCTTGAAGTTACCTGCGGGCTCTAATTCTAAGCCTGTATATTTAAAGGAAAATCGTCAGTAATGATAGGTAATTCAGTATATTAGGGCTCTCTTAGAAGCTACAAGAATAACCTTCCAATAAGTGAAGTGCCATATTGTAATGGAAAAATGCTCTGCATTCCCTTGCAACCAGATCTATGGGATGAAGAAGTGCTTTGTGGTCTTTCTGACCTTAGAAGTATACTCTTATTCATTTCCAAGCCCAAAGAAATATTTTTTTGGTAAGCCGAAGTATAGAAATTTTAAAACATTCACCAAGTCCTCTTTGTTTTGTGGAGATTATTGTGTTTAAGATTTTTATCCTGGTCAGAGCTATTAGTATTTGGAGGAGTTTTTTATATATTTGCTTAGTGTTCTAAGTTTCTTATGTTTGTGATAGTAGTAGCCTGATGCTTCCTTTCAGTATTCATGCAATAAACTTGTATTAAGCATCTATTGTGTGCAGTGGAAGGGGAAAAACCATAGTAAGATGGCCCTTGCTCTGAAGGGATGTTGTAACATATTTAGGGCAGATTGGCACTAGAACTATGATATAATATTTCATTGTTGGATAGGGAATTTCCACATAAGAAAAGTCTCACTACTTATGACTCTAAGTTAGTGAGAAAGTGGTGGTATGACATGTTAAGAGTTAACTAGGACATTGAGAGGTTCAGCTTGCCTAGGGTCACACACCAGTATATGCTGGAGGTAGGACTTGAACTAAGATCTTAGCTCCAAGGCCAGGTCTCAGTTCATTCTACCAGAATATTGTAACATAGGCAAAAAAAAAAAATAGTACAAATTATAATACATAATTATTGTATACAATACAATACAAGTACATAAAGAAATATATCCAAAATGCAGGGAGTTAAGATGAAGAAAAACTATTAGTTAAGGCAATCAGTGAAGACTTCATAGAAGTGGTGTAGAATGTTATCTTATGTCATTATTAGCCTGGCATGTCCTGCTTAGCACAAGAACAAGTACTGCTAAAAGAAACACAATATTTTAGAACTAGAAGGAACCTTAGAGGTAGAAAACTCTTTTTATGACCAAGAGAGATTATTTAATTCCCTGATTATTAAAATTCAGTGGATATTTATTGAATACTATACGCATCCTTTATTTGGAATGGATTTCTTTGAAACTGGTAAAGATGTTTAGGCAACTCGATCTATAGAATGTTTAATTAAGAGTAATTCAGGTAAAATTTTATTATGCAAACTAAGGGTCCCCCTGGCAGATTGGGATATTTTACCTTAATTCATTAATTACCTTAACACATTGCATTCGGAGTATCTGACAGTAGGGAGGAAAGGGGCAGAATTTTGGAAACTCTTAAGAATGGAAAGGATGAGAAGGAACAAATTGCAACCATCGAGTTGGAAAAGAACTAAAAAGAAAAACTAGACGGGTACCATTAACTTCTAGAAGTTAGGTGGCCATGCTTCTCTAACATGATGCTCAGCAATACAGTAGGGCTAATCATTCTTAGCCCTTCCTTGGTAAAAGCTGCCAGCCAAATCAATTGGGAGATTTTCCTTTGGGAATATTCTTCCAAATATTTTATAATGGAAGTCAATAGGAATGTTTTGCTTTGGAGAAATTAGCTTTATAACCAAATTGAATGAAGTGCCTCTATTAAAAAAAAAAGATAAGTGTATTTGTGAAATGTTTTGCTCTTACTATGACAAAAAGTTACTCTTTAAAATTAAAAATAGGAACTCTTTTAAAAGGCATGCTTTTTTTTTATTCTCTAGTTTTGTAACAGTGAGATATTTATGCTAAACTATTTCTTTTTTCAAAGGTTGGGATACACACAAAAGCATGGTTTATTGCTGGAATCTTTTTACTAATGACTGTACCAATATCTTTCTGGGGGATTTTGCAACATTTAGTGCATTACACTCAACCTGAACTACAGAAGCCAATAATAAGGTAATATCTTAACTTGATTTGATCTTACAGTTGTCCTGGAAATTTTCAAGAGTATGTTGACTATTTTATTAAATTTGTTAAATTGTCTTCTTTGCTTTCAAAATAGGATTCTTTGGATGGTGCCTATATACAGCTTGGATAGTGTAAGTATGCTTCCCCTTATCTAGTTACTTGAGAACTATACATAACGACGATAGTTGCAGAAGACTTTATATCATTAAAATAAATTTGACTAAATAATTGCTGTATTTGTTAAAAGTCATTAATAATAGTAATTCCAGAACTTGCTTCTATAACACTGATTATCTTTAGTTTGATTTGGGGAAAACAACAATCATCAGAATATAATTAGTCAACCCTCAACTATTTACCAGATTATTCATGGCAGTTTTTTAATAAATTTATTAGCGTTGTCACTAAGTTAAGTACTTGTTGATATAAACAAAATTTTTGTTTCTCACAAAAGAAGCTGAAGAAAACTTTAATTTAGAAATTCCTTTTCTGTGACAGGAAAGCCTGAAATAGCAAATTTAAAGGAATTTGTGAACAATTGTGCTTTCTGTTCTCAGTATGGAGTTGGTGGCATTGGAGGAGTTAAAGGGTTGAGACAGAATGGAACAACAGAATAGGCTCTGTTGCATGCTATGATGCTGTATATTTTTCCACCCTCCTGTTGCCTTCTGTTAGTATTGATCATCAAAATTTGATTGTACGGTAAAAATAACACTCTAAAGGTTCAAATTTCCTTTTTGACCTTTTCTCCCTTGTTTTATAATTTATTACAATAAGCATGTGTTTGTGTGTATGTACATAAACTAGTTTCCTCACCAATGAGAGTAGAGTATTATCTAAAGTGAATAACCTAAGAAGCTAGTCTTAACATTCACTAAGTCACAGAATCTGAGTTGGAAAGGTCAGAGGTCATTTAGTCCAGCCTGTTGACTGAACAGGAATCTTTCTACAAACATTCCTGTGAAGTGGCCATCCAGCTTCTGCTTGCAGAGCTCCAATGAGGGCTGCTTATTCTGGAATCTAGGAACATCTTTCTTTTTTTTTAAATAACATTTGGTGACTATTTCAATATAATTTTTTTCCTCTGTAGTCCCCATGTTTTTATGCATTTAAATATATAATTCTTAGAAGGGGTCTGTAGACTTTACCAGAGAGCCAAAGATGTCCATGACACAAAGTTAATTCCTTATCTGAAATGATGGGCAAGCCAGTCCAATTTTGGACAGCTCTCTAATTATTAGAGGTTTTCCTTCCTTTAAGCCAATATTTGCCTCATAACTTCCATCTGTTATTTCTAGCTCTGCCACCTGGGACAGAGTAGAAGAAATTCTCTCTTTTCCACATCGTAACCCTTGAAATATTTGGAAATGAGGCTGCAAAGTCTCCCTTTTCCTTCCTCCCTACCCAAGTCTCCTCCAGACTGAGCTTATTCAGCAGGGGCCTTCTTTATCCCCCAGACTCTTCACCATCCTATTCACTATCCTCTGAATGTTCTTCCAATTTGTCCTTCTTATAATGTTTTGAGAACTGACCACAGCACTCCCAGTGTCATCAGACAAGGCTGGAGTGCTGTCTGCCCTTGCTCTGGATTCTGCCTCTTTTGATGAAGGCTAAGACTGTGTGTGTGTGTGTGCGTGCGTGCGTGCGTGCGTGCGTGCGTGTGTGTGTGTACCTTGTATATTTGTTGGTTCCTTGAACCATGTCATCTGCCCAAACCACAAGGTCTTTTTACATGAACTATACCTTTACTTTCTTAAATCCCACAACCACGCTCCAGACTCCCACAATTACAGCAAATCCAGCCTTCCAGTTTCACTGAGAAGATGCAGGCCAGCTGTTGTAAAGTGCCTCACCTCTGGCCTCCATTCCTGTGAAGTCTGTCTTTTAAAAAGCATCTCCAAAAGGAACAACTATATTAGATCTCCCAGTTAAGGAGTATTGCAATTTCTTATTTTAATAATGTACAAAATGTTTTCTTCACAACAATTGAGGTACGGTTATTTTTTACTTGATGTTTTAAATTGGTCCCAGTATAACTGCATTTAACAAATCCAGATTTGAATCATTACTCCATTTGATTAAATGGTAAAAGAAATTGACCTACACTTAAGCAGGTTAGAATCCCAAACCACTCTGAGATACAGATATCTAATTTCATTTGTCTTCCCATTCATTTTCTCTCCCATTCATCTCTTATCAAAATCTTAAGATTTATTATTTCAGATTTGCACATTAACAAATTTGGCCAAACTAACTGCATATCAAACATCCAGTCTAACAAAAACACTTCATAGTTTATAAAATGCTGCCCTAACAGCAGCCCTGTGAAATAGTGAAAATACTACCCCGTTTTTCAGATGAGGAATTGGAGATTCCAAGAACTTTATTAAGTAAGTTTCCCAGAATCCCATAGCTAGTGATTATCAGGGCTGGAATTTGAGACCAGGTCATGATCTGTATGGCAGTGAAAGCTAAAGATAGGCCCAACATATCTGAGGCAATTTCAAATATTTACATGACAAGAAATATGATGTTCAGTAGTATACAAAATGTACTGAGAATTGGAATGTTGATTCATTGTCATTTGAGTGAAATAATTTTAACTTCTGTTTTTCATAGTGGATAGCTCTGAAGTATCCCACCATTGCAATCTATGTGGATACTTGCCGAGAATGCTATGAAGCTTATGTCATATATAGTTTCATGGGATTCCTTTCCAATTATCTGACTAACCGGTATCCAAATCTGGTATTAATCCTTGAAGCCAAAGATCAGCAGAAACATTTGCCTCCTTTCTGCTGCTGTCCATCATGGGCAATGGGAGAGTAAGTATGTTTGTTCTTATCTTAATGCTGTATCTATTGAATGCTGTGCTCAATCAGGCTCTGTTGCTAGGGTATACAGAAGTTTAAGTCTCTGCCCTTCAAGAGATTACAGTCTAGTTAGAGAGCTGTGTTTTTGGAACATTGATATGGCAGAAGTGTGCAGAATGAATTGAATAGAGTGAGACTAGCGGCAAGGAAATGAGTTAGGTGGCTGTTACAGACCAGTCCTGTCTTTGCCACTTAATACCTGAGTGTGACATTGGATACACGCTTCCCCTTAGTTTCCTCATTTGCAAAATGAGAGTGTTTTGGACTATATCATTACTAAGATCCCTTTTGGTTCTAAATCTTTGATCCAGTCATGAAATGCTACTGAGCTGAACTAGTTTTGTGTCAATGAGCAAGGAAGAATGAGTGAGATCATGAAGGAAGTGAAATTAGATACTCAGTTCAGTATGTATTACAAAAGTTATCCTAGCTAACTACAATCATACATTCAAGAAACTAGGTTTTCACTTTTGATGCTTTCAACAGGAAACAAAAGGTAAATTTGAGGTAACTTTGGGTTTACCTTCACATCCCTTTTCTAAGATCCCAGTAGGGTACAGAGATTGAAAACTATACCATCGAGGTAGGCAAGTTATTGGCTGTGTAACTTCCTAACCCGACTTGGAGTTGTGAGTCATGGAGTCACAAATCAAATCTTGAAGCTTAAAAAATCTCCGTAGAAGGAGATAATACCCTTTATCTGATAACAATTAGTAACTCGTGGTATTTGTGTTTGAAATAATTTGAACTAATTATTACAAATGCTGGGTTTTGCAGTTAGATTCTTAATCTGCCAATGTTGATTTTTATCCTGAACACCATCGATTAAGATGTTGTTATAATTAAGTCCTCAGCATACACAATTATTTATTTTCTATACTTACATCTAATTTTTTACAGTTGTAACCCAGTAAAGCTTTTTTAGTAAATCTAATTTTTGGCATCTTGCTGAAGCCTTTACCACCTTCACTTAAATCCTTTATTGGCAGCCCCATCTATTGGGTATTTTTCATACCCTTTGTCTAACTAATGCCTCAACTTTTAAAAAAAGCTTTTAAAACCAAAACAGTAAATTTTCCTGTGCAGAGAAGATATTGGCAAGAAACTTAAGGCAGAAGAGACAGTTTTTCTTAGATAGGGCTTTGCCTCATTTGGCAAAGTTGTATTGTCCATCAGTACAGAATGGACAGTTAGGGGCAGGAGAGTGAAACTGGACAGTTTCCAAGCATCTTTCAAACCAGTGTCACTTTTTTATTTGTTAAATATTAAGAATTCCTTGAATATCATATACATTCATGATATGAGTCTGAATGTAAGTATAAAGGTGTATTTCAAAGCCGTATTAGATCATGTGTTATTACTCCTCCTCCTTCAGCAGGGAAAATCAAGCTGACAGTATCTAAAAATAATATAGAGCATGCATTCTCAGGTGAAAGTTAGCCATGATTACCACCTTGCTTCAAATATAATGCCAGCCTTATATTAGCATGTTATTGGTAGACAACCACAACTTTGTTGAACTGTACCTTTCTGCTAATATGCTGTGTGGTGCATGTAAATGCCCAAATTGATTAATTTCTATATTGCCTTAACCAGTTATAGTTTTTCCTAAATTCTGTTGGATTATTTGAGATATGTCAAAACAAGAACATATAATAATTTTGTGCATCTCAACTAAGCCTCAACCGTAATTTTTATGCTTGTTTTTTAGATTGTTAACCCATATTCAGATAATGATATTTCATGCTTTGAAATACATTATGTGGATTAGTTGGGTTGGTTATTACACTGTGTAAACAAGCCCACAAATCCAAGTTCTTCTATTTGATCTCAGATTCTTATAGCAACAGGCTATCGCTAACATAAACTTGCAAATATCTATACTTGATCACCTGAGGAAGATAGGATTGTTTAGTATTAGCCTATTGCTGTTACTAGGAAAAAAAAAACTACTTAGTAATATCTTTTTTTTTTCTTTTGGTTAGGCAATGGGGTTAAGTGACTTGCCCAGGGTCACACAGCTAGTAAGTGTTATGTGTCTGAGGCCGGATTTGAACTCGGGTCCTCCTGACTCCCAGGTCAGAGCTCTATCCACTGCGCCACCTAGCTGCCCCAGTAATATCTTTTGATATAGAATATGGAACATTTCGTAGTGCAGAGCCAATCATAGAGAATCTTTGGTTTTCATGAAGTTTATATTTATAGTCTTAGAAGTTCCCCCGTGTGTATCTCTTGAGACACAATGTGAAAAGACAATTAAGTCTCTTTTATCCATTTAACTTGATTCATTTTTAAAAGTTATATTTTATATTTATATATATATATGTATATGTATGTGTCTTTATATTTATAGGCATGTATGTGTACGACTATATAATATTTACCTCTGCTTTGAAATAGCCATTATGTTAACAGGTTTCTTCAAGTGGAACAGTATTGTCCTTGTAGTAGTGTAGTGTAGTGTAGTATAGCTTATTTGCTGATGGCTAAGGTATCAAAGGGGAAAGAGACAGCAGTTATTCCTAGTCATCTGCAATTACCTGTTTCCTCCTTAGCTTTTTGCTCTGTACTTCAAAGTGGGGCATGTGAGAATTTGAATTAGGAAGAGTGGTTAAAGTATTGAATTATTTGCATTTCTTTTGCAGAGTATTATTGTTCAGGTGCAAACTAGGTGTACTGCAGTATACTGTGGTCAGACCATTCACAACTATTATTGCTCTGTAAGTATGTAAGTGGGAAATGAGTGTTTTGGAAGTACTTCATTATGTTGCCTTTTGCGTTGTTGGAATTGTTAAGGATATTTCAGATGGATAATATAGGCATTAATAAAACTTATTTTGAGATAATTCTAATTTAAAACAGATGAATTAAAGTCATAGTTTACATTACACAAGAAAGCACAGTTCAGTAAGCATTAAGCACCAACTGTGTGCAAAAGCACTGTACTAGAGACAGAAACACAAAAGTGAAGTGGTCCCTACCTATCTCAAGGTGCCTACATTCTAGTGGGAGATAGAAACTGAAAATACATCTTAACTTAGTATGTAGTGGCAAGAAAATACATTTTTAAAATGCTTATGCCACACAACCTGCATCTCTGGGATCACCACTATTAAGAGTGGAGGTGGCAAAAACTGATACCACTAGATAGGAGTTAAAGCTTTGGAGATTCATATTTGAACTTTATGGCTTGGAACAAAGCCACATGGTTAATTAGTGAATGCCACAAGGTATTTAAAGTAATCACTTTGTCATTTTCAGAGATATTTGTTGTATAAAACAAAGGACACAAAGCAGAATTAGCATATTGCTTTAATTTGTTTACACTTTGCTGGAAATGATATTAATAGATATTAAAAAGCCAAGAAAGAAATTGAAAATCTTAAGATTTATCTTTGCTGGGTCTTAAAACTCCATTTGGGCAGAGTTTATAGTTTGTGTTACCCAATTAACCTATTTTCTGGGTGTGAGAAAGTAGTAAATAATACTAATAGGGCTCTATAGTTTGCCTGCCACTGTACCCAGAATAGTAGTAATCACCAGAAGACAACCTTGCAAAGAGAGGGCTTGCTGGCCACTTTTTTCCTTCTATTTCTTTTCTTTTCTTTTTTTTTTCTCCTTCTATTTCTAAGTCATTTTTAGTCATGTCTTTGACTTAACTCTTTACTTTGACATTCAGCATTTATTATACTGTTCTGTGTGAGTAGGTATCTAGTTATCTTTTTTTTTAACTTTTTTTTTGTTTTTGGTTTTTTGGGTGAGGTAATCGGGGTTAAGTGACTTGCCCAGGGTCACACAGCTAGTAAGTTTCATGTGTCTGAGACTGGATTTGAACTCATGTCCCCCTGACTTCAAGGCCAGAACTCTATCCACTGCACCACCTAACTGCCCCTCTTACCCTTTCTAATATTAGGAAATTATCCAGTGCTAAGATAACAAATAATGATAACTAATTTGGAATTAACTTTGGTATATCATTAACTAGATTTTTAAAACTCTTAAAAGAACAGACAACTGTTGTTTTCTTTTTTAAAATGGTGCTACAACAATACTTGAATCTTATTTTAGTACCATTGTGGGTTGTTTTTTTTACTTAGCTATGATTACCATATGTGTCCAGTGAGTGAGTCTGTTTTATTTTGGGCTTCCTGCTCTAATTATGAGCTCACATTTTCTTGTAACATTTTTATAAAAATAATTTTGTTGTAACTTTTGAGCAACGTATTATACCCGAATTTGAATATTAGAGCACTCTTAATAATTGACATTTTGGAATCCTTCAAATGAGTTTTTCATAATACCTTAAAATGTAGCTTTGAAATTATATTGTAAATGTAATGTTTCTTTTAAATCATTTTTAGAATCTGTGAGCTGCTTGGTGTATATGATGAAGGGAACTTTAGCTTTACCAATGCTTGGACTTACTTAGTTATATTCAACAACGTGTCACAACTGGTGAGTTAGAATATGGATTTTCTTTGTTTTACTGATAAAATGGTCATCCTCAAATTTAATACCTATGACTAAATCCCCAGTGAAAATACCTGATTTGATAAATACCTGGTTGAAAAACTTGATACTGCTTTAAAACTTGATTTTCTAAGCTGCCCACATTGGGAATTTGAGAATCTGTTAACTGATGACTTTATTTTGATCCATTCATGTTCTGCCTACCTGTCATTGCATATGAGACACTGTGGTTCAGTGTGAAATGTAAATGAGACAATATGGCCTCCTGAAAGTGAGAGAAGCCTTAGATTAGCTCATTAAATAAAAGGAAATGTTTAACTTTGTTATTGGTGATATAAGTCGAAAGAATTGGTTAAAATCAAGGCAATAATTATAAATTAAATGTTATCTTATAGCTTTCAGATTTTTAAAAGGAAGATGATGCAAGAAAGATAAGTTTTAAAGAATTGGATATAAACAAATTATCTGAAGATATTTTTGTCTTTAGAATGAATATATAAATGTGTGTACTGCTACAAGAAGTTAATCAGATTTAGTGTCATAGTCTCAGAGCTTCAGCACAAAAGCATTAATTACCAGTACAAGTCAAGTTGTGCAAGTCAGTGCTAAACTAGATAGTTCAATGATAGCTTTTAATAGTTTTCTCTTAGTCTCTTAATTCAGTTATTTTACTGCTTAACTTCACTTTCACATTATATTATATGTCTACTTTCAAGTTAATCTTTTACCAAAATAATTCTAATACAGAGTACTGTAAAATCCATTACTCTGCTTTCCTGAACATTTGTAAATTCTACTGCTTTATAAGAGTCAGCTTCAATGGATAATCACTATTTTCTGTATAGTATTTTCTCCATAGCTTCTCTGGTTTTTAAAAATGAATATTTTCAAGAAGATATTAAAACATTCTCAGTAGTTTTATTAATACTTTATGCAGGATATATTTTTGAACAAATAAAGGTCCATGGATAATCATACATCCATCCATTCCCAGGGAAATATTACCTAAAACAATATGCCTTATCACTTTCTTTCTCAGCTGTCTTCTCTCTCTTTTCCTCTCCTCTCTTCTATTATCTAGATTATAACAAGAGCTATTCCTCTTCCTAGATTTTCATCATTTTTATAATTTTACTTTTATTGGACAGATAATTAAGAAAAACTGAGATATCAAAAATTCATTTGTTTTTCTCCCTAGTTTGCTATGTATTGCCTTGTGCTGTTTTATAAAGTACTGAGGGAAGAACTAAATCCAATTCAACCTGTTGGCAAATTTCTTTGCGTAAAGATGGTTGTTTTTGTTTCCTTCTGGTAAGTGTTTCTTTTCTACTAAATTCTTTCATTTATGAAAAAGCAATATAACTATTAAGTAAAAGTATATGGAAAAAATTAATTGGCCAACCATTACCTTGATTTGGTCAAAAGGTTGGGTTTTCCAGTATGACAACAGTGACTTACTTTGCGTCTGTGATATTTGCCATAAAATTTTGTGTTCAGTTTTGCAAATTCTGCTCTTAATGAGATTATATTATATGCCATTCATAAGAAATGTATCTTCATTTAGGGTTCATTACTATTGTGTGCCTTTTATACAATCCAGACTATTAAATTTCATTAAGACGTGATATCTAACTCTAGTCAAAGACTAACTCACATTTGTATTATATAGAGCTTTAATATTTACAAAGTACTTTTCTTTAAACAATTCCAAGAGGTAAGTAGTGCAGGCATTATTATCCCTAATTCAAAAAGGTCCTTATGGAGTTGGTGCATGAACATGGGTCTTAATTCTCTTTGGGGGAGCAGATGCTCAAAGTCCAGTGACAGCAGCTGTCCCATTTGTCTGGATTGCATAGAGATAGGTAGCAACAAATTCATATACCACAGCTTGCCAGTACTGCTGGTCTTAAAATAGATAAAATGTCTTGGGAAGACAACAGTTTTAAGATATAATCTAAAATTTCATTTGTTAAACATTAGATGCAGTCTCTTTAACACAGATTACCTTTTCATAAACATGTTCCATGTAGGCAAGCAGCAATCATTGCCTTATTGGTAAAAGTTGGAGTTATTTCTGAAAAGCATACCTGGGAATGGCAGACAGTAGAAGCTGTGGCTACAGGTCTACAAGTAAGTGAACCCATCCCTCCACACACACCCCTACTGTGGAACCAATCACAGATGATTTCTCTTCCACTCACTTACCTTCCTTTCTGATTCAGGCCTTCATTAGCTCTTGCCTGGACTATCATAAGGACCTCCTAATCAGTCTTTCTGCCTCAAGTCTGTCTCCATCTTCAACACCTAGGCCTCAGTTTCCTCATGTAAAATGAGATTGGACTAAGTGAACTTTGGTCCCTTCCAGTACTAGATTATAGGGTTATAGATTTAGAACTAGAAGGAATCTTAGAAGTCACCTTTTCCAAGTCGTTCATTTTACAAATGAGAAAAATGAGGCCCAGAGGGTGAAATAACTTGCCCTTAGTCACATGGTAAGTGGCCAGATGTGACCCTCTATAATTATTATTTTTTATTTATTTAGATTTAATTTTTCCTCAGTTATATGTAAAAACAATTTTTAATATAATATTTGTTTTTAAAACTTTTGAGTTCCAGATTCTTTCCCTTCTTCTCCCCCCTGAGCCCTACCATTGAGAAGGGAAGCAATTTGATATAGGTTACACATGTTTAGTCATGCAAAACATATCCATAATAGTCATGTTGTAAAGGAAAGCATAGACCAAGGGAAAAAAATCAAAAAAGATAAAGTAAAAAAAAGTATCCTTCAGTCTGTATTCAGACACCTTCTGTTCTTTGTCTGGAGATGGATAGCATTTTTCATTGTAAGTGCTTCAGAATTGTCTTGGATTGTATTGCTGAGAATAGCTAAGTCATCCACAGCTTATCATCTTACAATATTGCTGGTACTCTTTACACAGTACATTTCACTGGGCATCAGCCCATGCAAGTCTTTCTAGGTTTTTCTGAGAGCGTCCTGCTCATCATTTCTTACAGTACAGAAGTATTCCATTATAATCACATACCACAGCTTGTTCAGTCATTCCCCAATTGATGGGCATCACCTCAATTTCTAATTCTTTTTTTTTTTAATTTCTACTTCTTTACCCCCAGAAAAGAGCTGCTGTAAATATTTTTGTACATGTATGTCCTTTTTTTTTTTCTTTAAATCTCTTGTGATACAGATGTAGTAGTGGTATTGCTAGGTCAAAGGGTATGTAGGCATGGTTTTATAGCCCTTTGGGCATAGTTCCAAATTGCTCTACAGAATAGTTGAATGAGTTCACAACTCCATCAACAGTGCATTAATGTCTCATTTTTTCCTACATTCCCTCCAACATTTCTCATTACCTTTTCTGTCCTATTAGCCAATCTAGTAGGTATGAGGTAGTACCTCAGAATTGTTTTAATTTGCATTTCTCTGATCAAAAGTGAGTTAGAATATTTTTTCATATGGGTATAGATAGCTTTGATTACTTCATCTGAAAACTGATTATGTCTTTTGATCATTTGTCAGTTGGGGAATGATTCTTATTTTTATAAATTTGACTCAGTTCTCTATATGTTAGAGAAATGAGACCTTTTTCAGATAAATTTGCTTCGAAATTTTTTTCACAGTTACTATTGCTGACTGTGTTTCCCTCCATCCTATTTCCTCCCCACGCCGTTTATTCTGGTCTCTCTCTCCTTTCACCCTGTCCCTCCTCAAAAGTGTTTTTCTTCTGACCTCCCCCTCCCCCAGTCTGCCCTCCTTTCTATCCTTTCTGTTATACACACACACATACCTCTTCTCTTATCCCCTTCCCCTCTTACTTTCCTGTAGGGTAAGATAGATTTCTCTACCCAATCACACATATGTGTTATCCCCTCTTTGAGCCAGTTCTGATGAGAGTAAGACTCACTCACTCTTCCTCACCTCCCTTCTCTTCCCCTCCACTGTAGAAGCTTCTTCTTCATACCTCTTTTATGTGAATAACTTATCCCATTCTACCTCTCCCTTTCCCTTTTTCCCAGTACATTCCTCTCTCACGTCTTAATTTTTATTTTTTAGATACCATTCCTTTATATTCAACTCACCTGGACCTTCTGTCTATATGTACTCCTTGTAACTACCCTAATAATGAGAAAGGTCTTATGAATTACAAATATGATATTCCCATTTAGGAATGTAAACAGTTTAACCTTGTTAACTTATGATTTCTCTTTCCTGTTTATCTTTTTTAATTTTAAATTTATGTATTTTTAGTTTTCAACATTCACTTCCATAAGCTTTTGAGTTGTAAATTTTCTCTCCCTCCACCAGACGGCATGCAACCTGATATAGGCTCTACATATACATTCTTATTTTTCTCTCTCTTTTGCTTTTTGGCGAGGCATTCAGGGTTAAGTGACTCGCCCAGGGTCACACAGCTGGTAAATGTCAAATATCTGAGGTCAGATTTGAACTCAGGTCCTCCTGACTTCAAGGCTGGAGCTCTGTCCGCTGTGCCCTGTGTACATTCTTATTAAACATTTTCACATTAGTCATGTTGTAAAGAAGAATTAGAATGAATGGGAGGAACAAAAGAAAAAAAAAGAGATAGTATGCTTCTGTCTGCGTTCAGACTCCATCATTCTTTCTCTGAATGTGGATAGCATTTTCCATCATGAGTCTTTTGGAGTTGCCTTAGATCTTTACATTGCTGAGAAGAGCTAAGTCTATCAAAGTCAGTCATCGCACAATGTGGCTGTTACCTTGTATGATGTTCCCCTGGTTCTGCTCATTTCACTCAGCCTCAAGTTCATATAAGTCTTTCCAGATTTTTCTGAAGTCTGCCTGCTCATCATGTCTTATAGCACAATAGTATTCCATTACATTCATATACCACAACTTATTCAGCCATTCCCTAATTGATGGGCATCCTCTCAATTTCCAGTTCTTGACCACCACAAAAAGAGCTGCTATAAATATTTTTGTACATGTGGGTCCTTTTCCCATTTTTATGATCTCTTTGGGATACAGCCCTAGAGGTGATATTGCTGAGTCAAAGGGTATGCACATTTTTATAGCCCTTTGGGCATAGTTCTAGATTGTTCTCCAGAATGATTGGATCACCAACTCCAACAGCAATACATTAGTGTTCCAATTTTCCCACATCTTCTCCAGCATTTCTAATTTTCCTGTTTTGTCATGTTAGCCAATCTGATAGGTGTAATATGGTACCTCAGTTGTTTTGATTTGCACTTCTCTAATCAATAGTGATTTATCCTGTTTATCTTTTTATGCTTCTTTTGAGTCTTGTATTTGAAAGTCAGATTTTCTGTTCAGCTCTGGTCTTCTCATCAAGAATGCTTGAACATCCTCTATTTCATTGAATGTCCATTTTCCCCCCTTGAATGGTTATACTCAGTTTTGCTGGGTAGGTGATTCTTGGTAATAATCCTCACTCCTTTGCTCTCCAGAATATCACATTCTAAGCCTTCCAGTCCTTTAATGTAGAAGTTGCTAAATCTTGTGTTATCCTGATTGTGTTTTCACAATTCTTGAATTGTTCTTTTGTTTTGTTTTGTTTTTGGCTGCTTGCAGTATTCTCTCCTTGAACTGGGAACTCTGGGATTTGGCTATAATATGCTTAGGAGTTTTCCTTTTGGGATCTCTTTCAGGAGGTGGATTCTTTCAATTTCTATTTTACCCTCTGCTTCTAGATTATCATGGCAGCTTCCCTTGATAATTTTTTGAAAGATGATGTCCAGACTCTTTTTTTGATCATGGTTTTCAGGTAGTCCAATAATTTTTAAATTATCTCGCCCGGATCTATTTTCCAGGTCACTTTTGCCAGTGAGATTATTTTATACATTTTCTTCTATTTTTTTTTTCATTCTTTTAGTTTTATGTTTTTACTTCTTGATTTCTCATAAAGTCATTAGTTTCCATTTGCTCTACTGATTTTTAAGGAATTAATTTTCTTCAGTGAGCTTTTGGACCTCATTTTCCATTTAGCCAATTCTCCTTATTAAGGGATTCTCCTCATTGGCTTTTTGGGCCTCTTTTACCATTTGTCCTCCTAGTCTGTTCTTTAAGGTGTTACTTTCTTTGGTATTTTTTGTGTGTCTTTTACCAAGCTGTTGGCTCTTTTCTCATGATTTTCTTTCATCGTTCTCATTTCTCTTCCCAGTTTTTCCTCTGCCTCTCTTACTTGATTTTCAAAATCATTTTTGAACTCTTCCATGGCCTGACACCAATTCATGCTTTTCTTGGAGGCATTGGACATTAGGAGCTTTAACTTTGCTATCTTCTGAGTGTGTGTTTTGATCTTCCTTATCACCATAATAATTTTCTGTAGTCAGAATTTTTTCCCTGTTGTTTGCTCATTTTCCCAGCCTATTAGTTGACTTTTAACTCTTTGTTAAGGTAGAGGGCGTACTATCCCAAGCTTCAGGGGTTTTGTTCAGCTGTTTTCAGAGATACTTCTAGGGACCTGTAAATTTGCAGTTTTCCAAGGTGGTATGATCTAAGGAGAGGTGTTCACTACTCTCCTGGCCTGTGCTCTGGTTTGTGAGTGACCACAAGCACTCTTTTCTCCCCTGCAACTGTGAGGAGGGTTCCCTGCTCCACTGTGGCCACAAGCTCTACTATAGGCTAGTCCTCCTCCTCACCCTGGGTCTGCCATCCAGAACTGGGACCTGGATCCAAGTATAGGGAAATCAACAGAGTCTTGCCTCAGTGCTAGCAAAAAGACCCCTCTAATTTCCTTCTGACCAGTTTTTCGACCCCCTTACCATCTGTGGGCTGAGATGACCAGAAGCAGCCACTGCTGATTCAGTTGCTCCCCAGGCCTGCTTCTGGTTTGCTGGAATTGGGGCTGTGCTGGGGTGGCCTGTGCTGGACTGCTTCATTCTCATCCAGGTGCAACAGATCCTTCCTGACAACCTTCCAAGTTGTCTTGGGCTGGAATTTGTTTCACTCTTTTTATGGGTTGTACTGCTCTAGAACTTGTTTAGTCTCTCTCTTTTTTTGCTAGGCAGTGGGGTTAAGTGACTTGCCCCAAGTCACACAGTGTTATGTGTCTGAGGCCAGATTTGAACTCAGGTCCTCCTGACTCCAGGGCTAGTGCTCTATCCACTACTGCCACCTAGCCATCCCTAGAGTCATTTTTTTAAAGGTGTTTGGAGGAGAACTCTGATGAGTCCCTGCCTTTACTCCGCTATCTTGGCTCTGCCCTTTGACCCTCCATAATTCCTGTATAGGACAAACAAGATGTGAAGGAGAACGTGACTGGCATCCGCTCTTTTGTAGGATTTCGTCATCTGTATTGAGATGTTCTTTGCTGCTATTGCTCATCACTACAGCTTTTCCTACAAACCCTATGTGCAGGAGGCAGAGGAAGGCTCATGCTTTGATTCTTTTCTTGCAATGTGGGACGTTTCAGATATTAGAGATGACATATCTGAACAAGTAAGAAATGTTGGTAAGTATTTAACAGTAAGTGAATTCACTTTTAATTTATCTACATAGTGAGGTTACTGAATGTCTAAGACTTTATCGTGGACAATAATTGGGTAGAAAAGAATGGAGTGAGGAACTTTGTTACTGAAGGATTTTATTTGAAGGCAGTCCTATCACACAAGCCTTCTATAATGAGGTTCCAGCATATTTAAAGAGTGGCTTATTTTGTGTTTGTCATTTGTAATTGTAACAGGTTCTCTTTTGCATTTCCTTTCAAGGAAGGACAGTCCTGGGTCAGCGTAGTAAAAAGTTTTTTTCAGATGAAGAAGAACAAAATGAAAATACCAGTTTATTATCATCTTCTCAAGACCAGATTTCTGTTGCTTCTTCTATGCCATCTTCACCCTTGGGTCACTACCAAGGGTTTGGACACACTGTGACACCACAGACTACACCTACCTATTCTAAGATGCCTGATGAAATGTATAATGCTGTTACAGGAGGAAATGAAGAACCTTCAGCTAGGTATAAATCTGTGGCCTCCTGAACATTCAGAGGAATAATGTTTCTTCTGTTCTGCCATGTTACTTCATAACCTGGTATCCCATCACTTACGGATTTTGTGCTTGGGACAACACTGAACTGATGGAAAATTCTAGCACAAAGATGGTTGGTGAAAGCCAGGGTGTGTATAAAGGTAGAGTCGAATTTAAAACTGAATTAAGCACATTTTGTGTATCAAATAATCAGTCTAAATTTCAAGACTTGATTTATTTCTCAATGTCAGAATACCACATGCTCACATTTGACGAAGAGAAGAAAATGACTGCAACTATTACTGACATTAAACTGCTCTGTCAAATAGATGGACATGAAAATCAATGTTTTCTACCCTTGCTGCATGGAATAGAATGCTGCTGAATTAACCTGAAGAGTGGACTTTATAAACAATTAGGTAAATGAATTAGTGGGACTTAATCATAATTAAAGTTAATGGTTACTTATGTAGGTTGTGCTTACATAACATTTAAATACTAGATTTTATTCCATTCAATAAAAGAAGGGACTTCTATCCTATTGTTGTCTGCACCTGTTTTCTCCATATTTTCAAATCCTTATCGCATGGGAATGGTAGAGTAGGAAGGGGCTAAACTAGAAGTTAGAGAAGACCAAGTCTCCAATTCCAGTAGCACCAGCAAGATGGGGACAAACATGACTGAGAGTCGCTGATGGGACCAAGTGCACCTTCGGCAGCACGGTACCGTGGAGCTGGCAGGAGGGAGTCTGTTACAAAGATTTCTGTGGAGGGCTATTCAGCCAGAACTGTTAAACCAAACAAGTAGACAGAAGCGGTAAAATGGAAATTAGATTACAGATGACATTCCTATCATGATTCTGAGATCTTGTCTAAGAAGTTACTAATTAGTTATGGCAACTGAAAATATTTTCTCTGACACTAGCATTTAAGTTATGGGCAAATCGGTTTGTTCGTTATTATCAATCAACTGGATTTAATGTTGAGGAGGGGAGGGCAGGAACTTTTTCTTGTAAAGAAAATGAAGAGCCAGTTGTCATGAGTCCTATTGGAGATGGCATAGACTCCCAAGTCATACTTGGCATACATTTTTGTGCTTTTAAATATAGATACTCTTATCTTAAGTAATCCATTAATTGCTTCACATTCTATCCCTGTCACATAAATCCTCCATAGAGGACTTACTGTATCATCTTTTTTTTAAGGTTTTTTTTTTTAACATTCCTCTTTAAGCATTTTTTGTTCAAAATTCTCTTCCTCCTGCCCCTCCCCCACACATTGAAAAGGCAAAGCGATATGATGTCCATTGTACATATGAAGTCATGCAAATCCTATTTCCATATTAGCCATGTTGAAAAATAAAATAAAGTGACAAAATATGCTTTGATCTGCACTCAGAATCCATCAGATCTGTCTCTGGAGGTGGATAGCATTTTCCATCTTAAGGCCCTTGGAATTATCTTGGATCATTGTCATTTCACAGTTGATCATCATACAGTATTACTATTACTGTGTACAACATTCTGGTTCTGTTCACTTTGTGTCTGTTCATACAGGTCTTCCCAGGTTTTTCAGAAATTGTCCATCTCATCATTTCTCATAGCATAAAAGTATTCCGTTACAATCATATACCACAACTTAGTTATTCCCCAATTGATGCGCATCCCCTCAATTTCCAGTTCTTTGCCACCACAAAAAGAGCTGCTATAAATATTGTTGTACAAATAGAACCTTTTCCTTTGATCTCTTTAGGGTACAGACCTTCTGAGAATCCTCTGAGTCTCTAAATTTGCTGGATACTGGTGAAATCTTTGTGGTTTTTTATTCTTCACTATGTGAACAGCTCAAATCTTTTAGACCACTCACGTCTACTTTAACTGATAAAATACCATAACCTAACAGCAACCACTTGTACAAATTTACATTGTCCTCTTAGCCAACCAGATATTGAAACCAACCTGAGTAGAGCTGCTTCTCTCTAACTTTACTTTTTCTTGATCACACCTTTGGCCTCTGAGCAGGTTAAAGCATAGACTACCAGTTGCTGAGCAAAGATTGGCAGCTTTGGTTACTTAGCTGAGGCTACTTACCTTAAGATACATTTCTTTCAGCTCCTTATGGGCTACAGTTGGCCCAGAATCTGCTTATAATAATAAATTGACTGGGATTTGTATTAAGGCATTTAGGCATCTTACTATTTGTGCATATCACTTAACCAAATATACATAGGGCTGTGATATGAATCATCACTAATCCCTCAAGAACCAAAGTGGAATATAAACTGGAACTTTACTTGGAAAAGGACCAAGTGGAGTTTCTAAATGAAGTAAAACTGGAATTGTACTGTCTGACTTCTAGGTTTTGACACTTAGCTGTCATTTCAAATTGAGTCTGGCATGCACAGGTCCCACCCAACAACTTCAGCAGTCCCTTTGTATTTTAAATGGGTTACAACCATAAAGATCCATCTGTACATTTATATCAAAGTTCTGATCCAAAAAAGAGTAAACAAAATTATAGCAAGTCAAATACCCTGTGTACTAAGAGGATTGTAATAAAAGAACCTCAGGTTTTTTTTTTTTCATTTTCATACTTGAGTGGATCTGGGATCTCATGGATTACCCACACACACCCAGTGATGCAGAGCACACCTTATCTGTGCCACTCTTGTCCATCTATGCCCTCCCTCCCATACATGCTTCCCAAGGTCCACCTGTGGGAGGGGCTGAGTGAGGGACTTCCTCCCGATCTCCTGATACGCTGATGACATTGAGTAAGATTACCAGAGGAACAGTTGAGCTCTCCTTGGGTGATCTGTTGATCAGACTGTATGTCAAACTCACCTCTTCCATTCATACAAATCTCTGACATCCTTGACACCTCTGCCGGTTAGATCTAGATACAGCTAAAAGGGACCTCAGAGATCAAATTCAGCTCCATTTTCTAGAGGAGGGAACAGGCACAAAGATGAAGGTATAAATACCTGAGGTTTCACAAGTTGTAAGAAGGTAGATAGGTTGTCTAAATGAACTACTAACCATATGTATTGCAAAGCACCCTTACTACAGCTTAAATCAGTTTCAGTTTGGATTGGTTTAGAAATGACAGTTTCAAGTTTGATTTACATATATGTATATATAATATATAAATATGTGTATATTATATATATGTATGTATAGTAAAAGTAAGTAAAACAGTTAGGGTTAGTAAGTCCCAGTAGGTAACATTGGTATCAAATCTTACCACAATCGAACATAGGTCTCAGTAAGTAACACCTTAAGTCTCAATCAGTATCAAATCTTGTCGCAATCAGCCATCACCGTCAGGAAAATTGTTTTGGTAGCTAAATGGAGGATGGAGTGGAGTGAGGAGAGTCTTGAGACAGGCTGACCCACCAGTAGGCTTTTACAATAGTCCAGGCATGAGCTGATGAGGCCCTGCAGCAGAGTGGTGGTCAAGGAGAGAAGGGGGTGTACATGAGAGATGTTGCAAAGGTGACATCAACAGGAACAGATTGGATATGAGGGTTGAGAGACAGTGAGGAATCCAGGATTAGCCTCCAGAGGCCCAGCGGGAAATCCCAGGCTATGCATCTGCACCACAGTGGAGACTCCAAAGATGGTTCAGGACCACCTGCCTTTAATAGTTCCTTCTAACAAAGAAGGCAATTTGCCCAAAGATATGTGATCTGTGGGGAAGGGGTTGCTCTCAAAACATCGTTGAGAGTATTCCTGTTTATGAATATCTGGTTCCTGGAGGAGTGGCCAGCCCTTCCTGGGGGCAAATGCCATAAACAGTCCTGTGTCTAGCTAGGAATAAGATTAACATGAAAAAGAGTCAGGGTCAAATTGCAGGCATACTGAGCAAGATCAGAACATCTTTACCATACCATTCCTAATATATGGCACCTATCACATACGTCTTTGGGTGACTTGTCACTTTTACATCTCCAGATGTTACAGTTCTTGATGACATGAAGCCATCCAGCAGCACTAGAAGAATACTGATGTTATGCACATGGGTCTCGATTTCAGGGGGAAGCCTAGGAGCCTTAAAAGCATATAGTTTCCCTGAGACCATTCAGCCTATTTCAGTTCAATTGAACTATATTCAGTTCAATTTTGGGGGCAAATTATTGTCCACCTGACAACTCGGTGGTGCAGTGGGTAGAGCACTGGATGTAGAGTCAGGAAGACACGAGTTCAAATCCAGCCTTATACTTATTAGCTCTGTGACCCTAGGAAAGTCACTTAACTTCTATCCACCTCCCTTAGTTTCCTTATCTGTAAAACGGAAATGATAGCACAACACATACCTGAATAAGAATCTTCTTCTTGGTATATCTGAAATTTGCTTGGAAGGCCTACAAATAAGGGAGTTGTGTGTCATAGTGTGCATATAGGGCATTGACTTGAAGTCAGGAAGACCTGAGTTCATACACAAGTGATGTGACTTTGAAGAAATCACAACTTCTCTGCCTTGGTTTCCTCATTTGTAAATAAGAGGACTGGATTCCGTGGCCTCTGAGGTTTCTTCTAGCTCATAATCTATAATCATCTGATCCTACCTCTTCCCACGGCAGTCCATTTCACTTTTAGATAGCTCTGACTTTTAGGAAATCTTTCTTTACATCAAACCTAAACCTTCCTCTTTGCAACTTAGACCCATTCTTCTAAGGCCCAGAAGAACGAGGATAATCCTACATGAAATCCCAACCCATACTTGGAAGTAGCTATCGTGTTCCCTATAACTCTTCTCAAGGCTAAACATCACTAGCTCCTGCTGCCAGTCCTTACATAACACGAGTTCAAGGCAGGCCTTTTACCATCCCGATTGCCGAAACTAGTCATTAATGACTTGACACTCACTTTCAAGAATATGTGGGGGCAGCTAGGTGGCGCAGTGGATAGAACACCAGCCCCGGAGTCAGGAGGATCTGAGTTCAAATGTGGCCTCAGACACATAATACTTCCTAGCTGTGTGACTCTGGACAAGTCACTTAACCCCAATTGCATTGGATTTTCTGACACTGCTTTACAAGAGAGAGAGAGAGAATGTCAGAAATTGAGGAATTGGGTGACACTGAGGTTTAGTGGTAGGGTGGCATAGTAGGAGAGCCCTGAATTTGAAATCAAGAGACCTGGATTTAAGTTCTGGCTCTGACATTTATTAGCCACACGACCATGGGACCCTCACTACTGTCCCTATCTATAAAATGAAAGAGTTGGATTAGATTGGTTCTTAACCTTTTTTGTGTCATGGGCCCTTCTGGCAATCTGGCGAAGTCTATGAACCCTTTCTCAGCATGATATTTTAAATAATTGAACAACATAACTAAATTTTAGTTAGAGGTTAGTGACTCTTCATCTGACTCCATTTGGGGTTTTCTTGGTAAAGATCCTGGAGTGGTTTGCCATATCCTTCTCCAGCTCAGATGAGGAAACTGAGGCACACAGGGTTAAGTGACTTGTCTGGGATCTGAGGCCAGATTTAAACTGAGGAAGATGAGTCTTCCTGGCTCTAGACCTGGTGTTCTATCCAC